CAACACACTTCAGCAGCACCCACATGTTCAACACATTTCAGCAGCACCCACATGTTCAACACACTTCAGCAGCACCCACATGTTCAACACACTTCAGCAGCACCCACATGTTCAACACACTTCAGCAGCGCCCACATGTTCAACACACTTCAGCAGCACCCACATGTTCAACACACTTCAGCAGCACCCACATGTTCAACACACTTCAGCAGCACCCACATGTTCAACACACTTCAGCAGCACCCACATGTTCAACACACTTCAGCAGCACCCACATGTTCAACACACTTCAGCAGCACCCACATGTTCAACACGCTTCAGCAGCACCCACATGTTCAACACGCTTCAGCAGCACCCACATGTTCAACACGCTTCAGCAGCACCCACATGTTCAACACACTTCAGCAGCACCCACATGTTCAACACACTTCAGCAGCACCCACATGTTCAACACATTTCAGCAGCACCCACATGTTCAACACGCCACGCTTCAGCAGCGCCCACATGTTCAACACACTTCAGCAGCACCCACATGTTCAGCACATTTCAGCAGCACCCACATGTTCAACACACTTCAGCAGCACCCACATGTTCAACACACGTCAGCAGCGCCCACATGTTCAACACATTTCAGCAGCACCCACATGTTCAACACACGCTTCAGCAGCACCCACATGTTCAACACACTTCAGCAGCACCCACATGTTCAACACGCCACGCTTCAGCAGCACCCACATGTTCAACACGCTTCAGCAGCACCCACATGTTCAACACGCCACGCTTCAGCAGCACCCACATGTTCAACATGCTTCAGCAGCACCCACATGTTCAACAATTTCAGCAGCACCCACATGTTCAACACACTTCAGCAGCACCCACATGTTCAACACACACGCTTCAGCAGCACCCACATGTTCAACACACTTCAGCAGCACCCACATGTTCAACACGCCACGCTTCAGCAGCACCCACATGTTCGACACGTTTCAGCAGCACCCACATGTTCAACACGCCACGCTTCAGCAGCACCCACATGTTCGACACGCCACGCTTCAGCAGCACCCACATGTTCAACACACGCTTCAGCAGCACCCACATGTTCAACACGCTTCAGCAGCACCCACATGTTCAACACGCTTCAGCAGCACCCACATGTTCAACACGCCACGCTTCAGCAGCACCCACATGTTCAACACGCACGCTTCAGCAGCACCCACATGTTCAACACGCACTTCAGCAGCACCCACATGTTCAACACACTTCAGCAGCACCCACATGTTCAACACGCTTCAGCAGCACCCACATGTTCAACACGCCACGCTTCAGCAGCACCCACATGTTCAACACGCTTCAGCAGCACCCACATGTTCAACACGCTTCAGCAGCGCCCACATGTTCAACACATTTCAGCAGCACCCACATGTTCAACACATTCAGCAGCACCCACATGTTCAACACACTTCAGCAGCACCCACATGTTCAACACGCTTCAGCAGCACCCACATGTTCAACACGCTTCAGCAGCACCCACATGTTCAACACGCTTCAGCAGCCCACATGTTCAACACACTTCAGCAGCACCCACATGTTCAACACACCACGCTTCAGCAGCACCCACATGTTCAACACGCTTCAGCAGCACCCACATGTTCAACACGCTTCAGCAGCACCCACATGTTCAACACGCTTCAGCAGCACCCACATGTTCAACACACTTCAGCAGCACCCACATGTTCAACACATTCAGCAGCACCCACATGTTCAACACACTTCAGCAGCACCCACATGTTCAACACGCCACGCTTCAGCAGCACCCACATGTTCAACACGCTTCAGCAGCACCCACATGTTCAACACGCCACGCTTCAGCAGCACCCACATGTTCAACACGCTTCAGCAGCACCACATGTTCAACACGCTTCAGCAGCACCCACATGTTCAACACACGCTTCAGCAGCACCCACATGTTCAACACGCTTCAGCAGCACCCACATGTTCAACACGCCACGCTTCAGCAGCACCCACATGTTCGACACGCTTCAGCAGCACCCACATGTTCAACACGCCACGCTTCAGCAGCACCCACATGTTCAACACACTTCAGCAGCACCCACATGTTCAACACACTTCAGCAGCACCCACATGTTCAACACACGCTTCAGCAGCACCCACATGTTCAACACACTTCAGCAGCACCCACATGTTCAACACACGCTTCAGCAGCACCCACATGTTCGACACGCTTCAGCAGCACCCACATGTTCAACACGCACGCTTCAGCAGCACCCACATGTTCAACACGCTTCAGCAGCACCACATGTTCAACACGCTTCAGCAGCACCCACATGTTCAACACGCCACGCTTCAGCAGCACCCACATGTTCAACACGCCACGCTTCAGTAGCACCCACATGTTCAACACGCCACATTTCAGCAGCACCCACATGTTCGACACACTTCAGCAGCACCCACATGTTCGACACGCTTCAGCAGCACCCACATGTTCAACACTTCAGCAGCACCCACATGTTCAACACGCTTCAGCAGCACCCACATGTTCAACACGTTTCAGCAGCACCCACATGTTCAACACACTTCAGCAGCACCCACATGTTCAACACGCTTCAGCAGCACCCACATGTTCAACACGTTTCAGCAGCACCCACATGTTCAACACGTTCAGCAGCACCCACATGTTCAACACACGCTTCAGCAGCACCCACATGTTCGACACACTTCAGCAGCACCCACATGTTCAACACACGCTTCAGCAGCACCCACATGTTCAACACGCTTCAGCAGCACCCACATGTTCAACACGCTTCAGCAGCACCCACATGTTCAACACGCCACGCTTCAGCAGCACCCACATGTTCAACACGCTTCAGCAGCAACCACATGTTCAACACGCTTCAGCAGCACCCACCTGTTCCACACGCTTCAGCAGCACCCACATGTTCAACACGCCACGCTTCAGCAGCACCCACATGTTCAACACGCCACTTCAGCAGCACCCACATGTTCAACACACTTCAGCAGCACCCACATGTTCACACGCTTCAGCAGCACCCACATGTTCAACACGTTCAGCAGCACCCACATGTTCAACACGTTTCAGCAGCACCCACATGTTCAACACACTTCAGCAGCACCCACATGTTCGACACATTTCAGCAGCACCCACATGTTCGACACACTTCAGCAGCACCCACATGTTCAACACACTTCAGCAGCACCCACATGTTCAACACGCTTCAGCAGCACCCACATGTTCAACACGCCACGCTTCAGCAGCACCCACATGTTCAACACGCTTCAGCAGCACCCACATGTTCAACACGTTTCAGCAGCACCCACATGTTCAACACATTTCAGCAGCACCCACATGTTCAACACGTTTCAGCAGCACCCACATGTTCAACACGCTTCAGCAGCGCCCACATGTTCAACACGCCACGCTTCAGCAGCGCCCACATGTTCAACACGCCACACTTCAGCAGCACCCACATGTTCAACACGCCACGCTTCAGCAGCACCCACATGTTCAACACGCTTCAGCAGCACCACATGTTCAACACACGCTTCAGCAGCACCCACATGTTCGACACGCTTCAGCAGCACCCACATGTTCAACACACTTCAGCAGCACCCACATGTTCAACACACTTCAGCAGCACCCACATGTTCAACACACTTCAGCAGCACCCACATGTTCAACACACACTTCAGCAGCGCCCACATGTTCAACACACTTCAGCAGCACCCACATGTTCAACACACTTCAGCAGCACCCACATGTTCAACACGCTTCAGCAGCACCCACATGTTCAACACATTCAGCAGCACCCACATGTTCAACACACTTCAGCAGCACCCACATGTTCAACACACTTCAGCAGCACCCACATGTTCAACACACTTCAGCAGCACCCACATGTTCAACACATTTCAGCAGCACCCACATGTTCAACACACTTCAGCAGCACCCACATGTTCAACACGCCACGCTTCAGCAGCACCCACATGTTCGACACGCTTCAGCAGCACCCACATGTTCAACACGCCACGCTTCAGCAGCACCCACATGTTCGACACGCTTCAGCAGCAACCACATGTTCAACACGCTTCAGCAGCACCCACATGTTCAACACGCTTCAGCAGCACCCACATGTTCAACACGCCACGCTTCAGCAGCACCCACATGTTCGACACGCTTCAGCAGCAACCACATGTTCAACACGCTTCAGCAGCACCCACATGTTCAACACGCTTCAGCAGCACCCACATGTTCAACACGCCACGCTTCAGCAGCACCCACATGTTCGACACGCTTCAGCAGCAACCACATGTTCAACACACTTCAGCAGCACCCACATGTTCAACACGCTTCAGCAGCGCCCACATGTTCAACACACTTCAGCAGCACCCACATGTTCAACACGCCACGCTTCAGCAGCACCCACATGTTCGACACGCTTCAGCAGCACCCACATGTTCAACACACTTCAGCAGCACCCACATGTTCAACACATTTCAGCAGCACCCACATGTTCAACACACTTCAGCAGCACCCACATGTTCAACACGCCACGCTTCAGCAGCACCCACATGTTCGACACGCTTCAGCAGCACCCACATGTTCAACACGCCACGCTTCAGCAGCACCCACATGTTCGACACGCTTCAGCAGCAACCACATGTTCAACACGCTTCAGCAGCACCCACATGTTCAACACGCTTCAGCAGCACCCACATGTTCAACACGCCACGCTTCAGCAGCACCCACATGTTCGACACGCTTCAGCAGCAACCACATGTTCAACACGCTTCAGCAGCACCCACATGTTCAACACGCTTCAGCAGCACCCACATGTTCAACACGCCACGCTTCAGCAGCACCCACATGTTCGACACGCTTCAGCAGCAACCACATGTTCAACACGCTTCAGCAGCACCCACATGTTCAACACGCCACGCTTCAGCAGCACCCACATGTTCAACACGCCACACTTCAGCAGCACCCACATGTTCAATGACTTATTTCTTCTTCAGGCTTTTCATGCCGTCGCCAACTTCAAGTCCTCTGATGACATCACTTTAACCCCGCCTGCCCCGCCCCCAAAGGAGGACCCTCTTCGAGCACTAACAGAGAGAGGCCATGAGTCCGTCTACAACAAAGGCCCCGCCTCCGCCTCGGAGAGCAACGATGAGATTGCAGCAGCTCCAGTACCCTTGGACCGGCTGGAGGGCCTGGGTCCCCTGGGGCCCCTGGGTCCCCTGCAGAGAGAGAAGGACTCCATGGGGAGCCTGAAGAGAGCCAGCGTGGATGTGGAGCTGCTGGCCCCCCGCAGTCCCATGGGAAAGGAGACCATGCTAACCTTCAGCAATACGCTACCCAGAGCTAGCATGAATGCTAACGGGGTGCAGGGAGCCAACCCTGTACCTGATGACCCCCTGCAGCTGGTGCAGCCGGTGCAGCCAGTGCAGCCAGTGCAGCCGGTGCAGCCGGTGCAGCGGCGTCTGAAGGCAGTCCAGGTCCCTGTGGACCCGATGCGGTCTCAGCAGCTGGTGTCAGAGTGGAAACAGAAGTCGATGGAGATGAGGGGTCTGAGCATCCGTGACGAGGCAGAGCGGGAGGCAAGCGAGGACGGCTCTGAGGCGGATTCTGTGGGGACAGACGAGGGCGGGTCACAGGTCCACGTCTATCAGCACCCCTTGCAGTCTGGGAGGGCACCCTCTAGTCGAAACCCCACCCCACCTCCAGGGGGCGCTAAAGCTGTGGCTACTCCCAGACCGCCACAGATCCCTGAAGCTGGACCCCCTTCCGTTTCCCCAAAAAGCGCTTTGACTCGAGCCAAGTGGCTCGCCATCCGAGAGAAGACCAGTGGAGAGGGGTCAGCACGTAGCACCTCTAACCAGCCACGCCTCATGCAGGTCATTGCCATGTCGAAGCAGCAGGGTCTTCTGCCCTCCTCCTCCTCTGAGACCACCTCCACAATCGACCCCCCACACTACCGGCCTCACTCTGACCCACCGCGGGAGGGGGCAGGGATCATCACAGTGGATGCTCACGCCCCCCACCATCCTGTTGTTCAGGCTACAGACCCTCCTCAAGCCCCTCCCCTCGCAGGTAATGGTAATCCATGGGAGTGGTCTGGGGCGCCCAATGGGGGCGACCCACGTGACACATATGACCTCAACAGCATGACTCGGGGAGACTCCTCCGCCCGCGGCAGCAGCTTCCGGCCTCACAGATCCGCCTCTCCACGTGCGGCCGTCGACCATGAGACTGCCTCCCAGGTGGAGATGTCTGCGGAAGCTCAGCGCAGGGAGATGGCCATGAGACGCAAGACAGCGCTGGTTCTGTTGGACCGGGAGATCCGTAACCAGAGCGAGCAGGAGAACTATTACAAGAGTCTGCAGGGCCGCAGATACAAGGATTAGTTTCTTACCTTTCAAAATAAAAGCCTTATTTTCTAACTGCTCAGTCACAGCACAGAGGAGGTGTTAACGTGCTTCCTGTTGCTTCACCTGGTGAAGGGGCGGAGCTAAAGTATTCATCAGGGAGGTCAGACAATGGCTCATCACTGGGGACAGTTTCATCTTAAAGCCACCAGAGGGCGACACAGAGACATTTAGCTCACAAATTATACACAACATTGAAAAAACAGAAAACAAACAAAAAGGTTCATAAAGAGTCAAAGAAAACGTACAGTGGGGTGAAGTTTAAGTTTGCTACCATGGCAACCATAAAGGTGACCCTATGTTTCACCTTCCTGTCCATATATGGTCACTTCTGGATCAAAATAGCCACCCAGGCACAAACCAACAGTTGAACTATTCTATCCTCTGTTTGGACGCTCAGTGACGTCACCCATCGGTTCCTGAAGAGGAGTCATGATGCCCAGTGATGGCGGTCGCCATTTTGGAAATGGCTACTTAGACTTATACTTTTTCAGCCTGGAAACAGGAAGAGCTGAGGGGGGCCTTAAGCCCTGTGGCCAACAGCTTCAATGCACCTACCTGTCTTTCAAATCAGCTGCTCCCTTATTATACTAAATTGTGAATAACTCTTATCCTTCATCAAATCAAAACTGATGAGTCATCAAAACATTCACCCCCCGTACAGTGTGTGTCCATCCAGACATGAGCTAATCACACCTATTTGGTTTTTTGAACCAGGCTGTAAACATGTTCATCTCTGCTGTAAAAACAGGCTTTTTAGAATGGACGTTAATGGGACTTCAGAGGCTTTTGAAGCAAACTAGTGGACACTCAAGGAACTGCAATTTTTTCACTTGCACATTAAATTACTTTTTTTTCACAGCGGAGGTTGCCACTCAGCAATTCACCAAACTTCACCTCCATTAGAGAGGCCACTGTCGTCATTGTGGAGCCACTCAACAGGAAGTAGGACAGTTTCCATGGTAACTCAGAGTGTTGGTCATGTGACCGAGCAGAGATCAATTAAAGACTCACTCTAAAGCACAAACATGCAACAAGCCAGGAAAGTGCTGTGAAGCTCCACCCCCTTCACACCCCCACAAACAGTTTTCTGCACAGACCACGCCTCCTCAGAGGGGTGTGGCTTGAGGCAGTGTTTCCTGTTTTGGGGAGGCGTGTGGACGTGATGGTGGCCATTTTGGAGCTGTCACTGGTTGTATATTTCCTGAACGAGTGTTGTTGCCTTTTGTTGTGATGGTTTGGTTGCTATGGTGATTCTCAGCATGTTTGTAGTTAGTGTGCTGCGCTCTGATTGGTAGAGGCTGTGTGTGTGTGTGTGTGTGTGTGTGCGCGTGTGTGTGTGCGTGTGTGTGTGTGTGTGTGTGTGTGTGTGTGTGTGTGTGTGTGTGTGTGTGTGTGTGTGTGTGTGTGTGTGTGTGTTTGTGTGTGTGTGTGTGTGCGCGCGTGTGCGTGTGTGTGTGTGTGTGTGTGTGTGTGTTTGTGTGTGTCTGTGTGTGTATGTGTGTGTGCGTGTATATGTGTGTTTGTGTCTCTGCATGTCGTTGGTGTCTGATGACGTTTCATTTCCGTCCTGAGAGCAGACAGACGATCTCTCGCCTCGTTTCCTTCTGAATGTAAAAACTTGAATTTATCTTGAATCTGTGAATTTGTTGAAACATTAAAAATAAGTGCTGCTATAAAAGAGTTAAATGTGAAAGAGGTTAAAGCGTGAAGGTGGACGCTGCATGCTCTGTTAACATCAACGTTCAAATTAAAGCTGACTCTGAGTCTCTGAGTGTCTTTATTCTTCATGGAGCAACACCTACAGGTAACAAGTCCACACACACACACACACACACACACACACACACACCTGCTCACACCGTGGTCTCTTCCTCCTCAGGTGTATTTTCTCTCTTTTTACGTCTTTGTTTACAAACAGTCACAGGTGAGTGTCTGTTAGCGAGGGGGCGGTGCTTAGTGGTGGAGAATAATACTCCTGAAATGATCATGATCTCAGACTGCCGATGAAGAGAAGGGTGGAAACAGGTCAGCAGGTACAGGCGTGTATCAGGTGACTTCCTGTTTCTACGTCCTGCAGGGATTCAAAATGTGCTCACAGACTTTAAACCTCCCTCATAGTTATTCATCGTTTAACCCTGCTGGAGTTCAGGTCCTGCCGGGTGCCTCGTTAATTCGACCAATTAGTGCTGAGAGATGAAAGACTCATGAGGCGTTCACAGTCAGACCCACTGTGGGAGATTGCTGCCTCAGTTTCCAGAGAATAATCTTTAATTTAACGTTATCTGACTCGTCACAGCCCGCAATGATTTCATCAGATTCACAGGAATCAATCCTACAATGCACCGCTCTCTGTATGTCAGCTGTTACAGCGACACAGTTCAAAGTGAACATAGGAACTTCACTATAGGAAAGAGGGCGTCGTGGCAACCACAGGCATGACCAATGCCACAGATAGAGGGCGTGTTGTTATCAAAGGTTTCAGAGTTACAGTCTCACCTGTGCCGACAGTACAACTGCTCTGTGGGAGGAGTTACAGTACACCTGCTCTGTGGGAGGAGTTTACAGTCCCTCTGCAGGTTCTCTCAGTGAGAAGAGGAGAACATGTTCCTCTTTGTTTACATCACACTGTAGAAGCATTCACTCCTTTCTGTCTGCATAGGTGTTTGCGCTCACCTGATGGTGATGATGGCCCACTGTGGTTTGTATAAATAGACAAAAAAACATCACATCCCCCCCACACACACACAACCAAACACAACCACGCAAAGATGTTGCTTCCTCTCCTGCACCTCTATCCTCATTATGCAGTTTCCATGGCAACAGTGTGGAAGGAGGATGTTAAGATAAGAGCTTACACACAGACACACACAGACACACACACACCTCTCTGTTCTTCGTTTATTGGAGGCCTGTAAGCGTATATATATATATATATATATATATATATATTGTGTGTGTGTTTGTTTTGTGTGTTTGTGTGCGTGTTTGAAGGCGCCAGATCAGTTTCAGTTTGAAGGAGACGTTCTGATTGGTTGACAGCAGAAACATCAAACCCCAACCAGACAGACAGACAGCGGGAGCCACCTGCAGGCTGCAGAGAGAGCAGCACCCAAACACATTTCAATTATATCCCTAATACGACTTCTGTTATTTTTATTATTATTATTATTATTACAAATATAAATACTAACACTCAAAACACACATCAGCCTGTTATTGATCATATTTCTGACAGCTCTCAGTCTGATCACTGTTCTCTTATTTCAGCTGCACGTGAAGGATAATAAAGCGGTCTCACCTTTATGACATCACTGTCAGCTGATGAGCTCAATCATCTCTGACAGAGTCTGAGGTCATAACAGGAAATTATGTCATCTGCCTCCTCCAAGCAGGTTGCGTAACTTCTAGTTGATTAGAGGTGTTTAAATGTCATCAGAAGTAACAAGTGTTGGGATCTCCATGTGTTGAAACAAAGGTCCGGCCTGTAGCCCATACAGAAGCCTGAGTATGAGTACTTGAAATGACTCTTACTCCCAGCATGCCCTGCTCTGCAGAAACACTCCCAGCATGCTCTGTAACACCTAACACATAGGTGTCAAGTGTAGGGTCGATAAAAGCAGTCATCTCTCATTGTTCAGTCTCTTCACATGCTTCCAGCTTCCGAGGGGACACGCATCTCTTTAAGAGTTTTGATGCAATCAGTGATCATGTCAGCTTGTTTGCTTTAGTCTGGCACAGAATAGTTTCAGAAGAATTATTTCATAACAACTGATAATTGTGCTTTATTGTTGACAGAATGTCACATTCTGTTTATTATCTGCTGTAAACAGATGCTGCATTTGTTTTGTTGCTGAACCGCCATTTTCACCTACCTGTGTTTAATCACTGCTGTATAGCTTACTCTCAGTTAACGGCTTCCACAAACAGAAAGACCAGTGTACCTGCCGTTGAATCAAAGTCCGGCCACTGGCTTTCTGATGATTAAGTTACAGTTACTGAACTCAGCTCAGAAAGCTCATGCTAAGCCAGGCGGCTTCCTTTGTTGTCCAGCATTTTGTCCTCATGTGACGTGACCACATGGTGCATTGTCTCTCCTCCATCTTGTCTCCTCCCTCTCTCTCTCTCTCTCTCTCACACACACACACACACACACACACATACATACACACATGTGCCACGCTGTTTGTTTGTAGATATCTTGTTTGCTTAGATTAGTTTGTAATAGTTATTTCTTTGATTGAGTTTCATTGATTTTGGATTTATGTTGCTTTGTGTAAATAAATTCTGTTATAATTTAAAGAAAAGTTGTTGTGATTACTGGTGTATCTTTGTTGTGATATAAGATGGGTGCATGGGCTTTTTGTACAGATTTCACGCCTTCAATTTATTAAATACAGGTTATTAATGATTAATAATATTAGTCTTTAAATAATTAATTCGAGACTGATTTTGTTATATTTGGTTATTGTTCTCTTAGCTCAGAGTGGTGCCCCTGGTTTTTATTAACTCAAGTTTATAATATTGTTACTTGTATTAACTCTGCAAAACCCATACGTAAATGGTGCCCCGTGTGAGGTCCTCAATAAAACCAGCTTTATTACACTGTTAATGCACAGTAATCCAAAATTCTAATCTTAAAGAGATTCTTCTGAAGAAAATTCTCTTTTCTTTGGAAGATTGAATTTTGGTTTGTTGTTTGAGCAAAGCAGACATCAAGTTGGGTTTTAGTTATGTTGTTGTGTGTTGGTGAATTGAGTAGTTTACATTTTTTTGTTTTCCTTCTTCTTTGAGACAACAATTTAGCCATTTGGCCAAATGAGAGGATAATCTAAATAATTATTGCATAGCCAGCTGTCTGAGAGGTGTGAGTTCCCCCAATCCAGAGGACTTGAGATGTGAATCCCCTCACACAGCTTCCAGGATATAGAGCAGTGGTCAGAATTAAACTTATATCAAATTTACTCTCCTGTTGATTTAGCTTTGTTTAGTTTAAACTAGCTTCCAGGATAGCGCTCAATGATCAGTTTGGAAACTTAGATCAGATTTGCTCTCCTGCTGATTTGGCTTGGTTTAGTTTAGCAGCTTCCAGGATAGAGTGCAGCGATATGTTTGTATACTTAAATCAGTTTTGCTCTCCTGTTGAATTAGCTATGTTTAGCTTAGCAGCTCTGCTAACAATGGCTCAATGGGGTTCCATTTTTCCAGATAAAATGCGTGCCAAGACCCTATGTGAGCCAGGAGCTTAGACTCCTTTTGGATCAGCCGAGACAGCACTGCAAGAAACTGTCCCTGGTCTGATGCACCTCTACTTAGAGGAGATTACCAACCTGAATAGCTATTCAATTAGCATTTGTGATGAGAAGTTGAAGGAGCTAGTTGATCATGTCAACCACAGAACCGAGAGTCCCCAAAGCATGATCCTGGATGTTCTAGGGCAACTCCTCCTTCTTTCCCAACCTAAGTCCTTTTTGCAGCTAACCCAGCTGCAAGTTGAAAAAAAGCTCTGCAGGAAAATAACCAAAACCTGCAGAATCATGTTCAAACCCTGCAGGATGAAGTCCAATCCCTGCAGGCAGAAAATACATTTCTTCGTCAGAACTTCAAAACTGCCAAGCAGAAAGTGCTGGATGTGTTTGACGTTATTCAAGGAGCACAGGTAAGCATAGAGC